TCGTCCGAGCGGATGTCTACTTCGTCCATCAGCCCGTGAATGATCATTAAGCCGTATCCGCGTTTTTGCGGCAAAGTCGATGTCGACCCCTTTTTGGTCGCCACCTCTTCCGGCGAGAAGCCGATCCCTTGGTCTCGGATCATGATTTCCAGACCCTGAGGATTCTTTTCTTCACCGAGAACCTGCAACAAAATCTGCACTTCGCGGTCGTCAGATCCGCTGTGCTCGAAGGCGTTGATACACGCTTCGACGACAGCCATTTGAACCTCGTCGATTTTATCTCGACTCATGCCGATATGCTCTCCCAAAGCTCCCGCCGTTTTACTGGCGGTCAGCTCCATATTGGGAATCATGGGCAGGGTCAAGGTAATTTGCTGCATGGCATTCATGGTCCAGTCACCCGACGGCTAAACGTCACTCTCTCATCAGCATGAGATTCCTCAGCTCTAAGCTTCTTAGAAGGTGAGATAGACCTGGAGCAGGTAAATCACGACAGGGTGAATGCGGTTCTGGAGCAATAACCAAGCAAAGCTGGACAAAGTTCCGGCGGACAGCAATAAGTGGGCAGGTACCCGGGGAAGAGCTTCCACACGATTACGGGCGGAGTCTAACATGACAGCCTCCTCAAAGTTACACAGGGGGATATCGCAAACCCTCTGCCAACTTTTCCTGCAACTTCGACCGACAAGCGCTAAACATCAGATTGCAAAACACTTACGGATTTTACAAAGATCTTGCTTGGGGCGATGGCACAGGCTGGGGCCACACAGACAGTGCGACAAAATGCCGCACCCAACCCCTCGTCTCACCGTTTCGACCCATTAACCCTTGATTTCGCGCCTCAGAACCTCGAATGCGACATTTTGCCGCACATGCGACACAATGTCGCACCTCATTCAGACGGAGGATTCTGCCGTTACCTGTGGCTGTCGGCCCTCGATCAGAAGCCCTTACGCTGCAGGGTTCGTCGGTCGACACCCAATAAGCGCGCCGCTGCGGTCTTATTGCCACCGGTGAGCTTCATCACTCTCTCGATATGCCTCTTCTCGTTGGAGACTAAATCGAGGGGATCCTGGCCGCCCTCAGAAGCCCCGCCCATCAGGCTGCGAATCAACGGCTCGTCGATAGAGCCGTCGGACAGGGACACCGCTCCTTCCACCAGGTTTTGCAGCTCGCGGACATTGCCGGGAAATTCGTGGGCCAATAGAAGAGCGAGAGCCTCCGGGTCGATCCGCGGTGGATTGATCGCCTCACGGCGACAAAAGTCCTCAGCGAATTGACGCACCATCAACGCGATGTCTTGACGACGCTCACGCAGGGGAGGCAGCTCGATATCCACACCC